ACCCTGAGCATTTTGGTTATTCAGAAGAAGTTGTTTAAAGGTTTTTTAATACAATTGACCCCTGTGACCTTGAATATAATTGAAGGTCATTCATTTGAACAAACTTGGTAGCCCTTCACCCAAGCATGCTACTGGCCAAATATCATCTCCCTGGGCATTTTGGTTATTGAGAAGAAGATGTTTAAAGTTTTTGACATATTTGACCCCTGTGACCTTGAAAATAGGTGAAGGTCATTTATTTGAACAAACTTTGTAGCCCTTCATCCAAGTTTGCTTCTGGCCAAATATTGACACCCTAGGCCTTTCGGTTATTAATAAGAAGTCGTTTAAAGTAAAATATTGACACCGGACGACGGACGGACGGACGGACGACGGACGGACAGCCGACGGACGCCGCGCCACGGCATAAGCTCACTTGGCACTTCGTGCCAGGTGAGCTAAAAACAATTACCGTTACTCATCTAAAAATATTTTTACAATCAATAAAAATTAATAGAACAATAATTAACAATAATAATTAAAAAATTATATTATACGAATAAGTCTGAAAAATCAATGAAATATTACAGACTAAGACCCTGAATAATAGCGAAATAAAATTAAAACAACAAATCTGATGATTATAAATTAGTAACAAAATTTCCTTTCAAACATGGATTTAGTCAGCTAAGTGACTGGAATGTTTACAAGACACTTGATAAGATATAAAAAATAAGTCGCAAGTTAGAAGTAAAAAAAATCTTTCTGTTTTTAATATAAATTCCATGGAGATGAAAGAATAATTTATTCAAATGTTACGAAAATTTTGAATTATCAAATATTCTGATTTGATTTCAGTAAACAAGAATGAAAAAATGAAGATGTACGAAATGATTTGATAGAATTAGGAACATTAAAATATACTTGTATATAAAATAATTACAAAATAAAATATCACATCTTAAAAATATTAACAAATTCCCAACAAAAACATGTGTATCTCCGTTATGTACGATGAATAAACATCATGTACTTCAAAACAAAAATATTTACAGGAATTCACACATTTTTCCATACCTCTTAAACCTCTTCTCAAATATCATACAATATTTTCCTCTCTCTTAAAATACGAATATGAATTAATGAATGTCAATTAGAAATGATGAATACATATTGTTGCAAGAATATAATTTCAAGTAGGAAATATATGCATATCAACATTCAAAAATATATCCTGATTTTTGTACAGTAAAAAAGTTCTGTAATTACCTCAAAAATATTTGTTTTAACTTTTTTCTTGGATGCCTTTTGAAATATTTTCCTTAAAAAAACTGGTTTTGTTGATTGAATCGTTTTAATTCCAGATAAGAAAAAAATTGAAAATATGAATATGTTTTCTGAATAAGATGCAAAAGGTTGGAAAAATGAATTTCATTGAAAACACAAATGGTGCACTTAAATCTGTTCATATATTGGTCCTATTATTGTAAACACAACTATGACAAGACTTTAAAATGAATGAGATTTCTCTTTGAATGGTGAAAGTTGGCATCAGTATGCAGGGTGTTACCTCCCTTGGTATGAAAATGAACAGATGCTTAAAACAAACTCTTAATTATATTCGGACATATAATTGAATTAATATTTACAGCATTTATTATTTCTTAAGATTCATGCATTTTTGAATTGAACAACAATATAATTACACTGATTTCATAATGTACTGAAATGTAATTACTTGAATCATATACGTTTTCAAAACTATTCATGAAAATTTACTAGTTAAAACTCATCCAGTATAAAAAGCTATTCGATACAAGTCCCTCACCGAAAATTAAATGAAATATATTCTCTCTAAAATTACAATAAAATATAAAACTGGATTGAACTATCAATACCATTTAAGGCACTGGCCACAATGTAAATATACCAAACTGAATATGATTACAATCTAATTAGGCTTTGGAGGACAGGAAAATTCTACTGTCATAATATAACTGATCCACGTGTATCAATATTGTACCGGTTCTATACTTCCCTCAAATTGCGATCAACTCCACAGGAGTCTAAATTAATCTACTCCATCACCTCAATTTGACACCCTGTATAATAGGACACCCTGTATAATACGACACCCTGTATAATAAATACGACACCCTATACATTACGTCCCCATGTATACTGCAATGCCCTGAGTACTCTTACACCATCGGAGTGGTATAAAACGAAATCAGTACGTGAGATGATTGTCCTGATGTGATAAATGACTTTGAACATCTATACAATAATAACAGCTGCTCGTGTCTGTCACCAAATCTTCAAAAATGAAACTCTCCATTTTGATGACTTTGTTTTAACCTTTGTGTAAGTCAGCCCAATTTCATTTAAAAGTTCACACACATTCTAAGTACTAGAAACCACAATGTCTTGAGATGATCTATGTTAACGGAGTGCATAGTAAAGTACAGGACTTTGTTGTAGATGGACAGGAAGTTTACAACATGCTATTCACTCGCTTTTCTAGATTCTGTAGCTCCGTTGTAATGGCTGGTGGAAGGTCCTCATGAACTTGCTCATCAAAGTATTTTGCAACGTCCACCACTTCTTGTAACCAGCTTTCCTTCGGTAGACGAAACAATTCCTTCATGTCCACTTTTTCAGTCAAACCTTCCATATTAATAGAACCCTTTTTCGGTATGTATCCTACGGCGGACATCTTGGCACAGTCTTCTCCGTCGATACGACGGAAGATCCAGTCCAACACACGTGCGTTTTCCCCGAATCCTGGCCAGATGAATTTGCCTTCATTATTCTTCCTGAACCAGTTGACGTGGTAGATCTTGGGCAGATGAAGGCCGGGCTTTTCCTGGAAACTCAGCCAGTGCTGTAGGTAGTGGCCAAAGTTGTACCCAAAGAACGGACGCATGGCGAACGGGTCATGCATGATGACTTTGCCTGTTGAAGTAAAATTAAATTACTCAATAGCAGAAACAAAGATATATGATAATCCTTAGTAATGTTATGTTATTTTTTTCCTTCTAAATTGTTTGGTGGAAATGTTTTCCCTTACAAATGCCATTGAAATATATCGTTTAATAATGTCAGTCAACATGTTTCTTTTCAAGCTCATCAGTAAATACAAAATCTGAAAACATATTTCAATACTGGAATTTTAATAACACCTTTACAAACTTAAGAAATGGTAAAAAGTTAAAAAACAATACCTCCGGTTGAAAGATTTTAATATTTTTCAGTCATTCAATTTCAAACATTGATATTGAGGTGAAAATATTTACCAAGTACATGGTATTTTCTATTTTTATTCAAATATTAATGTTGTCCCCATATTTACTTACAATGAAATCAATTCACCAAATAAAAATCCAGGTTTAGCTCTATATAGGTCTTGGTAAGGATGAACTGGCATACATTGTACACTGATTTTGTTAGAATGGAGATCTCATAATTTTGATTATTCAAGATTATTCCTATGTGATAAGAATTTTAAAAATACTTTTGTTTAACTTCTCATGTTTCTTCTTAATTATATGAAACTTTGACTTGTTTTTAGAACTAACTTAAACGTTAAAGACCATTAGAGTTGCAAAAATCCACATTTTGTGATTATACACAAATTATCCAAATATAAATTGTCTCCCTTGGTTTGAAAAGAATCCATGATATGAAGAAATAAAAATCATCATCCATCCTTTTATTACAAATTTGTGATATTTCTAATGTGACTGAATCTACAAATCTACAAATCTTATAACATTGATGTCTTCAAGTGTGAACAATTAGTAAGAAATATGTGTTAGCCCAAGTTTCCTCTGGCCCTGACACCAGACTAAGACATTTTGACAGAGCCCACACCAGACATCTATCTGTCAAAATGAATGAGTCTGGTGTCAGGGCCAGATGAAACTTGGGCTACGTAGGTGGGTGTATTATGGTGGAATATATTATGACGGTGAGAAAATGTTGGAAAACACAATTAACGAAGGCTGCTTGTGGCCTTAAGTTGATTATTTTTCCAACTTTTCGAATCTCGAGTGTCCGTATACGCTTATGATAAGCATGGTGACCCAGATAATCTCATTAAATGTACTGGGTATTTAAACGGTACTTACTCTGGTGTTCAGCAGCAGCCGTAGCCTCTGACCTCATGGAAGCACCAATGTAGACGCCATGCTGCCAGTTCAAGGCTTCATACACCAGTGGCACACCTGTAACAGGTAATCATGTTGTATTACTATTTACTTCGGATCATATTGTGATTATTTTAGATGTACAACAAAATCATAATTTACAGATCTTTATGTTCTATAAAAAGATGATTAAAGTAAAGAAAACTATCTTTCGAACTATGTTAATCTAATTTTTCACAGGAATATAAATATATTTCAAGGTATTTATGTTCTGACGGGTCTGACAAACAGTCCTTGCAAACAGTCATTAAATTTTTTTCTTTTTTATATATATATGTATAGAATTGCTTAATAGTACCAAAATTTCCATTTTTTCTAAGTGTGAAGCAGAGATTTAGAAATGTACTGACCTTCAGGGCGTCTTCCTCCAAAGATTATAGCATCAATAGGGACTCCCTCGGGACTCTCCCAGGCTGGGTCCATGATTGGACACTGGGCAGCTGGTGTACAGAACCTATGGATACAATGGTCAGCTATGGTCAGCTATGGTCAGCTATGGTCAAAAAGTTTCCCTACCTTACATTGTAGTATACACCTTCTCTTTGAAATTTTAGTTTCAGCAAATTTTTTTCTATTTAAAATAGTTATAAGACAAAAAGTGAAATGACCTTAGATGTATACATCTGTCAGTGAATATCACTTTCTGTCCTTTAAGTGTGAAAACACTCTATAACCAGGCACCTTGGACCTCCAGGAATACTGGAGATTTTAACAATCGATACAAAATATTGCAAGCAATACACATATAGCCCACTTCTGCTGGAAAAACTTCAGTAGCGAAAACATACCAAGGGTCCTAGTCCCACACTTTCAGACAAACTTTAGACGCAAAAATGTACAAAAAGTCATGACACTGTATATAGTGAGTGGGGCACAAGATCTGATTTCAGTGCAAAACACTTTGCCAACCCAAGAGGTACTCATTTACAAAATTTGGCTATTGTGGGTGAAAGATTATTTGAGGTAAGCCCTTGACAAATAGCGCACTGATATTTTGACTGTTGGATGGAGTGCAAATCTCAAGTCTCCTTTGACAGTTCTAGAGGGGGCGGGAGGTGGGGGGCTAATATAGAGAGGACCAAACACAAGGAAATCCTGATGACCCTACCGAGAGTTGGGATGAGCTGCATGTCCGCCGTCCTTAGGTGTCCAGTCCTCAACATTAAGCCAGGAGGTGACAGATGTATCTTTCGTCTCATTCTCCATGCCTTCCCAGAATACACTGCCATCTGAGGTTTCCGCCACGTTTGTAAACACAGTATTACTCTTAACCGTCTCCATGGCGTTGGGATTGGTTTTCATTGAAGTTCCTATAAACAATACAATTACATTTAATATTACATGAACATGAACATTTTACAATTTTTGTTTCTGTTTACTAAGCCTTCTTTTTTTTCAGGTCCCTTATGCAGGTGGTCTCTTAATACAGGTTCAAATCAAAATGAAATCAACAATAAGGAACATTTTAGGTGGTCCCTTAACACAGGTGGTTTCTTAATGGAGGTGCATGGTTACATGAACATTATGTACAAAACTATAATAACAATTTCAAAATGTGTTTTTTGTTTGTTATAATACACTATTCAAATTACTATGAACAGATAACATAGCAGAAAATTGAGTCTCACCACTAATAATTAAGGATAGTGATTTAGAAGAAAGACATCAAGTATTCTGGTGTCTTGTCACTAGAACTAAATAGTTTCTTTATTTTCACAGTTAATATATTTCGAGTCTTTAACCCTTCCACCCCTATATAATTTAGTAAACTCTACCAGGCATTGATCAGGGTGAGTCCAATATGGTCTACAGTGGTGAAAGGGCGAACATAAAAACTTTTTGTCATTTTTGAATTGTACCTGGAGCCACTCCAAAGAATCCGGCCTCTGGGTTAATTGCTCTGAGGCGGCCATCTTTGTCGAATCTCATCCAGGCGATATCGTCGCCGACACAGGTGATTTTGTAGCCTGGGAGGGACGGGTTCATCATAGCAAGGTTGGTTTTGCCACAGGCACTTGGGAATGCGGCAGCGATGTATTTCTTCTCACCCTTAGGGTTCTCAATTCCCAGGATCTAAATACATTGAAATAAAGATGTTGTTTATCATTCTTTTTGAAATGATATCTTGTTGATTACACAGTAATTTTGAACTTAAAATACTTTGAAACCTTTTTTACAATACTGTGAAATCAGTAACTTTTGTGAGGATTTTAATTTCGTTGATTTCGTGGGTATTCTCCATCCACAAATTAATAGGTCTATGAAGTAGTTATGGTACAATTTTGAAATAAAGCAAGTCTTCGTTTGAGTGGATACTTATTATCCACAAATTCATGAACACATGAAATTGTCTTTTGCCAGGAAACCACGAAATTTGGGCGCCATGAAAATATCTGATTTCACAGTAGTTTGAATCCAAAAGCATGATGCATTATGTCTTAAATCTAACAATAATGAAAATTGTTTTCATTCAGAAAAAAAAAGAAGAAAAAAGAAAAAATAATCTCTTTCATCAATATACCCACCAACATGTGTTCAGCTAACCATCCCTCTCTTTTGGCGAGTATGGATCCAAGACGCAGAGCGAAACATTTTTTGCCGAGGAGCGAGTTTCCACCGTATCCACTGCCAAAAGAGCAGATCTCGTTCCTGGCCGGCAAGTGAGCGATAATGGTATTCTGAGGATCGCATGGCCAGTTGTTTTTCAGGGGCTCTGGAAGCAAAAGGGAGACAATTCTCAACAGATTCTTCCATGTAAGAACAACAGCATTTCGAAAAAGAAAAAAAAAGAAAACATTCAGGCATGAACTGAAAAATAGCTTTTAGTTTTAAAAGGGGTTTGGAAAGTTTCAAATTTGTAAATTTTTGATTTGAGTATTCAAGAATAATTTTTCAAAAAAGTCCTCTACCTAAATTGATGAACTTTAAATGTGGTCATTTTTGCAAGTCATACTTTTGACATTTGTCCTTTCAAATATTTTAACCTTAATGGTGTTCAATACGCTCAATGCTTGATACCCGTTGTTTTCGATATATAAGTGTTCAGTGTGTTATTGTGTTCAATATGTTAGTGTTCAAAGTGTAATTGTAATCAATATCTTAGTGTTCAATGTGCAGTTGTGTTCAATGTGTTTTTGTGTTATTGTGTAATTGTGTTCAATATGTTATTGAGTTCAATGTGTAATTTTGTTCAATGTGTAATTGTGCTATTGTGTTCAATGTGTAATTGTGTTCAATATGTAATTGTGTTATTGTGTTCAATAAGTAATTGTGTTCAATGTGTAGCTGTGTTGTGTTCAATGTGTAATTGTGTTATTGTGTACAATGTGTAATTGTGTTCAATGTGTTATTGTGTTCAATGTGTTATTGTGTTCAATTTGTAATTGTGTTATTGTGTTCAATGTGTAATTGTGTTATTGTGTTCAATATGTAATTGTGTTCAATGTGTTCAATTCTTATTGTGTTCAATATGTAATTGTGTTATTGTGTTCAATGTGTAATTGTGTTATTGTGTTCAATGTGTAATTGTGTTCAATATGTTATTGTGTTCAATGTGTTATTGTGTTCAATTTGTAATTGTGTTATTGTGTTCAATGTGTAATTGTGTTCAATGTGTTATTGTGTTATTGTGTTCAATACTTAAAAGTGATCAATATTCTGTATATTAGTGTTTAATACATTGTGTTCAATATATTCAATTCTTAATACTGTTTGTGTGCATATGTTCGTTAACTTAGCTACACAAAATTAGCAAACATTTTGCACTTTTTCTTAATGTTATATAAAATTGAAATAAAAATAGTGAAATTACGCGGGTAACAGTGAATTTTTAAAAAAAACATTTATTTTGAACAAGAATTTCGAAAATTCTGGAGGTTGATTTGAAGGTGATGTTGTGGTACCATTGTCCAAGTTCTTACCCGTGAGAGGGAGAGGCCTGCCCACAGAGTGAAGTGCCTTAACAAAGTCGGAGTCACCCAGCGTATCTAGGACCTTGGCACCCATACGTGTCATGATCCTCATGCTGGCCACAACGTATGCCGAGTCTGTAAGCTGTACTCCGATCTTGGACAGAGGTGAACCGATAGGCCCCATACTGAAGGGTATCACATACATGGTCCTTCCTGTTGAACACACAAAAATTCTGGTGAATCTTTCGTTAAAGTTTCATTAAATAACTAACATTTCATTTAATATGTAAACCACACTTGACCATTTTAATTATATTTTATTTATTTCACAATAATCATAAAACATGTTCATCATCTTATATTTATCAGTTTTGCTGGCCCAGATGTAGCGTGCATCTAAAAGACAATCCTCCTTGTACTTTAATTTTCTAAACCACATGGACACTAAATATGGCAGATACGGTACCTACTTGACCAACCACAGGTAAATACACCTGTGACCCAAATTTTATTATATTTTTGGAAGTAATGAAAGGATACCATTTGGAATACACAAAAATACAACATATTCCCTACCACTCATGCAGCCGGGAAACCTCAGGTCCATCTCCTTTTCCAGGTTATCCGGACTGATCCAGTTTCCAAGTGTGCCAGATATGCCTGCTTTACGGACCGGAATTGTGTCACGCTCATTTTCCGTGGACATGAATGTCAATTTCTCCACTCTGGCAACATCAGCAGGGTCAGTTCTGGCCAGCCAACTGTAGGGGAAGTAATTAACTCCCTTCATGATACATGTATATACAAAAAGACTGGTCAACAGAAATATAGACCCGGTGAATTTGTTTCAGAATTTTATTTATTACAAACTGTTGGTAGAGAAATATGTTTTAAGACTATCTGATATAATAACTTACGTTTATATTTGCTAATTAAAAACTTCAGCACTCAAACCGGACAGGCAATAAATATTTTGGCTTTCCAGAAACAACAGACATTTTTTTCAGAATATCTATTATCCTCTGGTTTCAGATGCAGAATACACAATTATTAAACATTTTATGTCCTGTTACAGTATATTGAATTTCATAAGCATTAGAGAAAAACTTGAGAATAAAAATTCAAATAATATTAATCCAAGATAAAGTTTAAGGAAAATCAACAAACCAAAACAAAAGTTAAATCATGTCTATTAAAGAGGACGATTAAACTCATCAAAGTATTTTCATTGTAACAAGTCCCAGACCTGAAGGGTTTAGAGGAACTTGCCTTACCTACAGATTAGTATGAAACTTACCAGTTGTCCATCTTTGGCAGGGGTTTGATCATGCCATCTTTCTGGAGGAGGTAGAGCAGGAGGTTATTCTCCCCTTCAGACCCGTCACAGATGTGGACGGAGGACGGTTGACATAGTCGCATGTTGTGGTCCACGTATGCTTGAACTTTCTTGGGTAACTGGTTCCATTTTCCATAGAGGATGTTTGGCACAGAGTGGTATCCACTTCGGGTTTTCGGGATTGATACAGATTCCTTTATAAGGCGGGACGCAAACTTCACACTGCAACGAACAAAATGGGACAATTTTTTGTAGATTTAAAATGGTATGTTTATACAACTTATGGCAGGTCAATTCACATCGATAAATTACTGCTGCTGCAAAAAGGCTTCCATTCTAATATCCTAATAAAATAGTGGCCCAAACTGAGAGATAAAAGCCACAAATTACCTCCCTTGTGACGAATTACCTCCCCTGACACTGAGCTTTCATTTAACCCTTGGCAATTTCGAAATTACAACCTTGGCTATTAGCGATTTCAGAACTAGAGAAGTCAAATTACTTTTTCCTCTGAAACATGGAGAGTCGTTTCCAATCAATAGTCAAAGCTAGTTTTGGGGATTCAAAAACATACTCTCTAGGGTTTAATTACTGAAACGTTATCTGCAAAATATGACTTAGTCAGCAATGTATGCTTTAAGCCAGCAGGGTGAACTGAATATGGCCAACAGTTTTACTTGTACACTTGTTGCAATTTACCTGGTGGTGGTATTTTGTAGGATCTTTCAATTTTTCATACAAGTCCTTTAGAACATCATTTTCAAAATGTTGAATGCTGGATTAAGTACATTCAATTACAATTGACTTAATACCTGTAGAGGGTTCACAAAATGTATGTCCAATAGGGGTTTAGGACTTCAACACAACGAAATCCATGCCTCAAGATATGATAAAGAAACATCTGAGTTGGAAAAAATGCCAGCTCCTTCGTAGTTCCTGGCTAAGTTATCGGTCAAAATGATACAAACTTAAGGATCCTCATACCACTGTGGCTGTAAACTAAGTGTTGGAAATTGTTTTTTCACACATTACTTTACCTTTGATGAACCATTTCTGATGAGAAAACCGTACCTTGTGGGACTTTTGTGAGAGATAATAAAGATGAACTAAAATAATTATAACTATAATCAACAATTGTGTTCTGAAAGTGAATAATTGTGTGGGGTAAGACCGGGATTCCAACCCTGGACTAATACTTGTCGCTGTAACCGATTGAGCTACTCCAGGTCAAAGAAAGTGTCCCGTCCTGTGCTACAGTCGGGATTCGATCGATCTAACCCTGGACTTATACTTATCACTCTAACAGTTTGAGCTACCTTGATCAGGTCAAAGGAAGTGTCCTGTCCTGTCCCGAGTGTTTAACAGTTATATCTAAACGAAAGTTAAGGGGAGGTTACTGTACATGAATATAGGAAAACCCACAGTGCAGTGGAACTGAGGGATCCTTTAGGGAGGTCTCCTTTGATGAGACTTATGAATCCCTGAACCTCCATTAGCATATACATAGCTGTTATAATGGACTGGTAAATATCCTGAAAGGAACATGTAGACCTGTGCCGCTTTATTTGTTTTCCAAATAAATACTATGTTAGGAAATTTTCACCCAGTGAGAGAAACCCATATTATCCCAGTTGTTATTATTTAGCTCTTCACATTGAACTCATTCACCCCTGAAAACACATTTGAACTCTTCCAATTCAAAGGATGGAATAGTTCATTATGAAATTTCAGGGGTAAATGAGTTAGTTAATTACTATGTACGCTATGTTTTCCATCGATGTTCATTGTAATGATAAGTTTGACCTCATTACAGTGGGCGAAAAAGACCAAAGTTAAACTACATAGAAAAAAATTCTGGTATACACAAGTAACATTTTCGGTTAATATAACTTTTTCAGTTAACTGATCCCTAAGTGTCGCTCAGTTCAATAGCATTTTGTCTAGATGACCGACTAGAACATAAACTGACTTTACGGTTTTCGCAATGCTTTTATGTTTTATTTGCCCTTTTGAAAAAGTTTGTCATTTCAAACCAAATCTTTTTCAGAACCTGAGGTAGCCCGATAGGTTTAAGACAGCTCACATTAATGTACCACATTATTATTCCAAAGAGACCTGGGCCCGTATTCATGAAGCCGTTCTCATGCTCAAGCATGGATTATGTGCTCGAGCCTAATTTCTTGTTCTGGTTATAACTCAATAAATAAATCTTATTTTGTCAATGATTTGGAAACATTTTGAAGAGACTTAAAGCCGATTACTGTTTTCAATGTTTACATTTGACTTTCACATGATCTAAGCGAGTTACCCAGAAAGTTGGTTTGAGCAAAGATTACATGCTTGAGCATGAGAACGGTTTCATGAATACGGGCCCAGGGTTTTATTAAGAATAAATATTGTAAGTGGTATCAATGGGACAGTGTGTGTATATAAAAAACATGAACATCATATTATATGTAGGTTTGCTCCCTGGATTGAACATATTGATGTCCTCAATGTATATAATATTACAAATTCAGAACATCCATTGATCTTTTGCCGAGTCCACTGATCCCCTGAGATCCATACACAGGACTGTTTAACATTGAATATCAATATCTAACGTATGAATATTAATGTAAATGGGGCATTTCCAGCACCAGACACCATATTGATATGTATATCCTTCAATAAATAAATAAAATAAATATACAACATTTGATATAACGCCCTATCTATATATAGCTAGCTAACATAAGCCACTCTAAAGCGCTTTACAGTACATAGAAACAATTGTATACAGTCAATACAATTAACATATATATTAATCAATACAATATTGAGAAATTCGCCGGAGCTGCATTATCAGGTGCTAACTACTAGTCCTATGCCACCTGGTTAATATCTCCCTATGTGTTTATGCCTGTGTGTGTGCTGGAGATGTAGTGGGACCGTGCTTCCAACGGTATCATTTATAGTGCCACCTCACTTGAATGCTACAGCACAGATACCGCAACACCCACCCCAGGCCATTTTATACTCCACCTGGGTTGTTGGAGTTGTGTGGGCAGGAGAAAAATACTTTCTCTGAATATTCCATGCATACGGCGACTTCGGGGATTGAACCCCGGCCGCCTGCTTGGAAGGCCGGAGTGTTAACCACTCAACCAATCCGCCCTGGAGGCCAACACATAACCTCTAAATCAAAGTAAGGGATGGGCTTATTACAGGACAATATGAAAGCACTTGTTGGCCTATCTTACTGAACTTAAGTGGTAGAAATATAGATATGTGTGGGCTTGTAGCCAGGCATGGACTTTTAATATTGCAGATAAACATGGTACATTAAAGCTAACAATGCAAAGTTAACTATCGACAAGCTTAACACACCTGCTGACGCAGAATTTGCAACACAGTTTTAAAAAGAAAGTTATGCAGTCTATCAACTTTGTCTTTCTGTTTACCAGGGATTTTATTTATATGTTATAATGCCGTTAACACTAAAAAAAGGCACAATGAAGGCCCATAACATGCAACATCAGCTTTTGGATAATAAAACTTATTCTAATCTGTGTTAATTTGGTGTTTTACATCAGAAAAAGGCAACATAGGCAAAACAAGTTATAATTTGCCGACGTTAAGTAACATGCATGAGAAGGGGGAAAAAAAGTTTGTGATTGAATGTGATGCCTAACTGAAATGAACAATAAACCTTGAGGGGTGTTTTAACCCTTTCACCACTGTAGACCATAATGGACTCATTCATATCAATGCATGGTAGAGTCTACTTAAATAACATAGGGCTGAAAGGATTAAAACAGATAAATTTGATTCATTATTATACTGTGGTATAGCTCCACCAGCTTGTACACAATGCTCAATCTAGTTACATTTATTTGTTGTATTTTAGCTTTATGAATTAAACCAAACCCTATACGTATCATTTAAATTACAAATGAAATTTTAATGTATTCTAAAATCTTAACAATTAATGATTTTGATGGCTGCTCAAAATTCAATATACATGTATTCATTTAATTTAGACGTGACAATATATTTTTTCTCAATTTTTGCCATTATAATACAAAACAAACATTATTTACATTTTCATATATATACAATGTATAGAGCTGCGCTTGACTTGGAACAGAACTTCTTTGTTGTAAATCTATATATATATATGTACCCCTTATCACCGTTTGAAAAGGCAGCTTGATAAATTTATTGAATTAGAAATGTAAGATTTGCTTGAGATTTAAATTAGTACATAGTTCCAAGGTATATATACCGGGGGTAATAAATACCACAGTAATATATTGTTGTTGTAGTCACGAAGTTGCACTATTCAATATTTAAATAGCCACACTGGTACAAGTAACGGTAATTGTGTTCTTTTGTGCACAGGCAAGGGTCTTAAGATTTAAGACCAAACAAACAGACGATTACGTCACATTATCTCAAGGGACTAAACCCCATTTAAATACCACTTAAATATATATATCATGCACAAAAAATTCAAGGTGGACTTTGGACTGGTTACAAGCAGACATGTTCATTATTAATAGGTATAGATTCCATTTCAAGACCATTTAACCAAGTTTACATTTAAATTTTTCCGGGCAGAACATTTAGCTATATTATATATAGCAAATTATTTGAATGAGCTTGGTTTTTAATATCCCAATCTGAAAAAAAACTATCTGGGTTCGCCTAAATTTTCCAGCTAAAATATACAAAAGTTTCCATTACAAAATCCGTCTAGCTTAATGATCCCCGTGACCACTGTCAAAAACAGCATTTAACTATAATTACACATTGGAAACAGCGTATTTTTTTCGGCCTCCCTGCATTTATATAGCTAATTTGATAAACCAGCAACTTTTATGGAAAAAAAGATGGTGAATAAACAAAATATAATTGACAACAGTGTTCCGAGTGTAAAAAATCAGCGGGGCTCATACACTGAAGATTCGAACCCGTGACCTCAGTTTGTTATACCATCTCTCTAACTGTCTGAGTTACCTCCTCGACCGAGATATCCTGGCCGAAAAGAAATCAAGGAGAAATTACTGTATTTCATGAATTCTTAAGTTAAGATTCCGCCTAAAGTTGGCACAGAAAGATTATACTCAAAGCGTGTCGTAAAAAAAGTTTCAAGCTAATATAAGTGCAATCTGCTGAAAGATTCTGTCCCAAGTCCATCTACAAAAACGTCCACTCTCATGGCCTGTTTAACATAAAATTTATCCTACCCTTTTCAGCTTGACATTCATGACATATAAGTATAGTAAGTATTTTATTTCCTTTTAAAACCACAGTAAATTCAGGGCGTGAGAGCCACCATGCAGAGATAATTTAAAAACGTACATAAAATGTAACCCAGATTCACAGCTTGGCATCAAATGACTATTAACTATATATAAACTGCACATGGTTTGGTTCACTGTATATAAACAAGATACCGGGAAAGATCAAATTTCTTTCAGAATCCCAAAATTTTCATTTTTACATAGAGACTATTATCACCACCTTTTGAAGCTGAACGTAGAAAAAAAACATATCAGTTTAGATGTCAACTGAAGTGTGAATACCTTTTTTATGTGTTCTTTGTAACTCAATCTCGGGCCATTTGTTCCATATACAGGTCACAACACTTCCCCAAAACATGGTATGTTTAACAAGAGGTTTAAACTAAACAACTCTGTCCGGGACAATTTTTAAAAACAGTTGCCTGTATATACTACAATTATTAGATGTTTTAATAAAGAAAATATTGCACACTTACATATATGTTGTGTAAGAGAATGTCATCACAGATTTTTTTTATATATTTACATATATATGATGGTTAATAATTTAATGTTGTCATGATGTAGCCCGCCTGTTTCTATCTTTGGTTTTCATTCCGTCCAGAGTGGAATATAATGTACTGGGGGTTACGTCAAGATTTAATATTTTTGACATACAACTGAACAACAAATGTACAAACAACACAAAATATTCAAACGCGGCCAGTCTGATTAAATACAAAATGTATTATCTGTAATTATAACTCACCAAGAACAAAAAAGATTACATTTAACTTATTCACACCTACGTATCTAAACTGGACTTGCCCATTCTTTGATTTGGTAAGGTTCAAATGTGATTTTAGGGGTTAATGATGGGCCATGGCAAGTTGACCATAATTTTATAAATAAACTTCTCATAACTAAAATATATGCCTTTCTCATAATCTCAGGTGTATAGTAAATTTTCCTGAATGCTGAGTGGATTTTTCCTAACACTACGACAGAGCGACTGGTGGTTTTAAATTTTTAACCTGAGCCCTGGTATCTATTTTATGTACTGGCCTGAACTTCTAAACATGCACTCTAGCATGAACTTTCATTCACCCGATGATATTTGATATAATGATGATGTTCTGTCATGGTAAACTTAATATCAGTCTTTTGAACAAAAATTGTGAAGTTACCACAAAGTCAGGTAAATAGCTTTAAAATCTACATTCTTCCAACCCAGCCGTCGTTACGTGTTTTGATGACGTTTAAATCCACATAAACAAACTGATATTTCTTTTTTGCAAAAGTCAACTGAAGTTCTTATTTTCGATTTGCTGATCTCATTTACAGCTCTGACATTTAACCCTTTCAACCTTATGTAACTTTAGTAGACTCTACCATGCATTGATCTGGATGAGTCCATTACAGTCTACAGTGGTGAAAGGGTTAAAACGAATCCAATGTAATGCACTAAGCACAAACTGACAATATAATAAATATATATAAATATTTATACAAATATATAAATCTCCTGACCCTAGGTTCACCTCTTAAGTACAATTTAAAATACTTCTCAAATAAAATTTTCATCTGACATTCATACTAGGATTATATTAATAATAACAATAATTTGAGGTTCTCATATACCGCTTTATCATGGGTCTCAAAACGGTTCACGGTTATTATCCGTGGTTGTAGGGCCTTTGCAACCAGCCAATATCTTTCTCAACTCCCTGTGGAGCATACAGCCGGCACTCACAGCTAGCATGCTACAATACTAGCACTGCCCAACCACATCCTCATTTACAGCTGAGTAGACTGGAACAAGCTACAGTGCTGGCATGCCGTGACTCGAACCTGCAACCCTCCAGTCACGAGCCTGACGTCCTAACTACCGTGACTCTTTATTCAATTTTGACAGATTTTCTTTTTTATTTCAGTCGCAATGAACACACCCGAAAACTTTAAGAAGTCAGCATGTTTTACCAACCATACCAAAACACACATTTGTGTCAATCCTGCACACGATATGTGCATTCATCTACAATTTCAGAAATTGATACCACCGGCAGAATATTTGTTTATTATATCATATTCGCTGCAAAAATATAAATCCATGGATCATGTTAATATTAAAAAGTATTAGAAATTTTCACAGAATTAATACATCAAAGGTTTATTTTAAAAATTTGAGAAATTAATATTGAAATAAAACACTATGCATGATCAATGTACACAACAGGCCATCACAATATGTCATAGCTTAAAGCTTTCATTCACATATGTTACACCTGAAAAACGTATACGGAATATAAGATAACTATCTTATTAAGATTCAATGTATATAAACAGATATAATGTATTCATTAAGGTGAGGCTCCCTGCGTCGTGGCATAACTAGACTTTATCATAACGCTTAATTCACATCTGATACAGAAATATTACACTATATCATACTACAGGTATTCAAATTTCACATGTGAAACACAGCATGTCTGTCAAAGGTTGATCTCACTGCCGAAAGGACTTTTAGAATTTCATAGTTTAAGGAAGGGGGGGGGGGGGGGGGGAGATAACTAGTCACCTGAAACATTACCCCCAAAACTGTAATTTTTGTGAAAAGAAGTATAATTAATAAATTAATTAATTCTCATACCCATACTGACGTGTATATTGCAGTAAGCGTTCTAATATTTTAACCACATTGTCTACAAGTGAAATTGATCACCTTGGAAAGCTGAAGTTGATGATTCATTGTTTCTACTAGTAGTTCCTCAAACAGCTGTTCCACTGACCTATATCAATAATGTACTTCCAAGTCTTATCAGAAATTTTCTTTTAAAAGCTTTCTTAGTTTTAGACAAACAATTTCCGATAACAAATTTCTCATAATCTCCATGGCTTAGAAGCAAGTTAAAATATTTGTTCATTCTTCAAATGTACAATACAAATAGATTTATTATTACTGCAACATGAAGAAAAAAAAAATCAATGTGATGAGTATTTAAACTTGGAATCAAATGTATCAGGTTTTGTTTCAGTTACATGTAAAATTTTAACAGGACTTAACTTGTTAGCTTTATAGAAATAGACGACATTCTTAATTTCCACTTCTATAAGCTAAAAGTTGGCACGACAGAGAAAGATACAATTAACAAAAATGTAGGATAGTGTTATAAAATTTGGGAGAAATTGTTACTGAATGTTTCCAATAATATATATAATGTACCAGGTAATAACAGGTATGAATATTTTAGGATTTTGAAATTTTAATTAGGTCAGCATAAAGCGGACTATGCTTTGAAAACACAGTGCTAGCTTATCTCTAGTGTGGCTACCTGTCGGGATAGCATGTCCACAGTTATCATGGCTGTCTTATACCTAGAATACCAATGTCATTTCAAGGTCAGCCTATAGCTACCACTCAAGTATAGACTTACTAGGAATTGAGTTTTCGCCTATATGAAATGTATATTTTATATATATATGACAAGTGCTTTGCCAGATATATAAGTTCAGTGTAAAATCAAGCATAAACCATGCATAATGACTCCTTAAAAGGATATGGCAAGCCTCTAACATTTTGAAGGCAAAAAGACATTTCCGGAGGTCATATACACCCATACGGGATCAAATTAACGGGATCCCTGGGCAATTGCATTATAACAGTTAAAAGGAAATTAATTGATTCACATCATATACCTTCAATAGAGCCTCGTTAAAAACACAAAATCAATAAGGCAATACAGATTTTTTCAAATCAATAATTAATTGGCCTGGGTTTTACTGTTTTGCAACAAAGGGATGTATGTCTTTCATTCATAATGAAATAGTATTATATTGAAGCTTGGCCTTATTTTCGAGATTCCAACATGACCAGGTAGATTTTATAATGTATATGTCCACAGGCTAGCAACAAGAATATGGTGTATTCTAAGCTGTGTATACTGGAGCTAGCGGTGGTTGTTTAATCTCACTTTTATGGCAGACTGTGCTTACCTGGTACAAAAAATAAAATTGGGAAAATAAAGCAATATTTTTATTAAAATTAGGAAATTCTTCCTTTCCTTTTTTAAAAATAAAGCATTGTTTTGCTATGGGAAGTATTTTTTGGGGGGAATTAAAGTCACTGGCTAGCAAAATGTAATATCGTAGTCCAAAGAAAATGTATGCTTCTTCCAACTAGAATTATCTGCCATGATCATATGTCGAGTTGTCCTATATAATATATATGCATACATATGAGTGTATTTATATATACTGCTCTTTATTGACCTTATCTGGATAGGCCATAGCTTATCTCGGTGCCCTTGGCCACACTACACTCAACAGGGATCTCCCTACTAATATCTGGATAAAACAATGTAGACTTCTAGTTCTAATCTGGTTTTTATCGTTAAAATAGCGGTCAATATCATCTGACACCAAACACATGTTCACTCATGTTCAAACTATTTGTTGAATATAATTTTTAATTTCAAATGTTAAATTCAGCAATTGTAATAAAAAATATTTTATTCTTCAACAATTTTATACACACCTTTATAATGGTTTCTTCAGTTTTTAAATTTCGCATGATTAGCATAATATGTGCACACTGCACAGTTAATATAAAAATATCAATATTGTCAGTGCAACTGAAATTTCAAGTGACAAAATGTAGTTAAAACTGAGATCTTCATATTATACATGTGAGCTGTTTAAAGAAAGAAAATGTACCAACTTTGCGGAAAATCCGGAACTCGTCTGACGTATCTCTTACTAAAACTATATAGTCACTAGCTGATCCTGAGAAAGGCTGAAGTGTATGAAAATCGCCGATTTGCACGATATAAATCGATTCAAAAGAAAAAGCAAGTATGAATTACCTCCAGAAACTGCGGAAACCGACCATGGTGAGGAATATGGGGGAGAAAGAGTAGAAGATCCTCACGTGTCAACCCCTCCACTGACAGTGAAAGCCAAGCTGAAACCACGCCTCGCCGACGGAGAAGGTCACTTCCGGTACACTCTGGGACCAGGTGCGAATGGAAAATAATCCATGTAATTTTTCTTCCGACCGTTCAAATATCTGTATATGTATACCCCCTTGTATATTTTTTAGTTGTTTTATTTTATCTTGCTTCTGCGTTTTAAAGCCTAACACATTGCTGACAGTCCATAAAAATAATAGATTTTAACATTTCAAAAAACGTCTCGTCAGTTTAAAAAAATAAGATATATTTCAAAAATGTACATATAAGTGCCTTAAAATATAAATAACTTAATAAATAATTATTTATCAGATGTCTCATTAATTAATGAGCGTATATCTCAATTAGCAGATGAGATACAATATATCTTAAAGAATATCAGTCATATTGACGTTTAATAGACTTCCCTGATAAAGCTACAATATCTTTTATTTCAAGGAGTTACTGGAGGCGAATAGAAACAAATGCCACGTGGTTTATATTATTATTTTATATATATATGTGCGAGTGTCCCGAATTTTCTCTTTGGAAAAAAGTCAAACAATAATTATTTCTATTCCAGTCCACAGGGGCCTGCGAGTTTGTTATAATTATCTTCGAAGCTCGTATATACAATCATTCGGGGTAGCAAAAAGAATCAATAAACTCATAAAACGTGTAAAATAACTTTAAACACACCAGTTTAGGTCCAAATATGGCTGCAGCAAATTATCGGATCCCTACGTTCCAGACCAGTTGAATAAACTGCCGTTAAAGCTAGAATATCCTATTTTCATGCTAGAATTTATTTCTTCCGTCCCAATACGCGGAAGATAGCATACATAACCCGATTAATCAAACTCAATATAGTTTTAATTGTAAACCGGAAGAAACAATAAACTAATGCCCAAGTGTTTCTGGGAGATAAAACAAGTTTCTGTCACACGACGAACAACCAGAGTAGAGAGGAAAGCTTTTGTAGTGTGATACATAGAACATAAAACATATAAAAAATAACTATTTTTTAAACAATAATTTACGGAAAAAAACTCAATCTACCATAATGAATAATGATACTAACAACCTATATCTAAATTTCAGTCGTTTTACTGCAGACATCTGGACGGACATAATAGTTATTTAAACTTCAGTCGAGGTGAGTAGCAGTGAAATGTACACGTAATAATTGCATCTCATATTCGTTTATTTAACGGTAGTGCACCACAACAACCTAGATTCCTTTAATTTCCAGACCCAAATATTCATGCACGCTGAAAAAGCTGTCGTCGCTCAGGCTTAACCCTTTGGCCACCGCGGCCCCAGGATGCCTGTAAACGCGCAAAGGATTTCCTTGATATTTGTCTTTGCTGGTTGCCATTTTTGCATCCCTCTTTTATATTTTCATCTTTTGCATCTGCTAACTCATTTTCATAATTTGTCAATCGTTCGATATCATCATTCTTTGACATTCAAGCAACGCGTACAGTTAATCCAAAACGGGGTGACAATAACGCACACAGCGGTAGCGTATGGCCAGTAACAAGGACGGGTTGATAAGGTTCGAATCTTCCATCGTAGACCCGAAGGTACTTAAGCCTTCATTTTGTCTTAAAATTCTTACGTGCTGTACTTAGTATTTGAACGGGGTATAAAGACGAGACATGCAAAATTTAAGGCAAATATTTAAACGATCGGATAGAGTGACATGCAAATTTGAAATCTAATACTGAAACATGTGATGTTGACAGACATAATTAAAGACAAATAACGGAATTGGAAGACGCGAGAACGTGACCAGCTTCATTTAGTACAGATACCAAAAATATATACCATCGTATATACATTTTACTTCCATTATACCTACAGCTACACAGATAGGGTTACAACTGGATTCGGAAATATTTCACTGAGATGGGATAGCCAGAACATGACTTCGGTCCTGGTAATATTTCCACAATAAAAATGGGTGACCTTGCATTAGATACTACGAGTGAAATAGCATTGCATAAAGTTAAAACCAGTCTCGCACTTGACCTTTGGCCTGCAGTGATCACGAAGCTGGTAATATCTTTAGTCTGTTTTAATTAAATATAAGTACACAAAGAGATCCATGGATAAACATCATTGGAAAGCTTTTCTCTCGATAAGTCAGCATAAAGAGAGCACGAGACAGCACGGTGTGTTATTGTTGTTTATTCTTTGTTCATATCCTGGTTCCAGACTTAAATTACAGCCCTGTCTGCAGTTTTTAGCAAACACTGAAATTTTTCCAAGAAAAAGGGTGCGTCATTTTAGAGACATTTGATTGGCTGACACATACAACGCCCCAGGATCAATAACATATGACGCAATTTATACCTATGGTGATGCAATTTTTTTTCTTTTTCCTTTTAAATATTTAATTATAAGTTTCTGTATAAACAAAATAACACAGAAATAGCATAATATGTCACAAGCAACTTAAGCTCACTTCTTAATTTGAAAATATTGAATACCCGCGAGTAGGCGATATCTGTTCCGTGATCAAAAATTATCGTAGGATAAAATTACTGTAACACCGTATATTGCTGGATGCGCTTCTCGAATCCTCGTAAATATAAATGAAACTCTATATGAATTTGTGTGCTATTCGTAACTGACAGTGATTCAACATTGTCCGTTGTTGTTGTTTATCAGAGCACGGTCAATTTGTCCTGTTGTTCAGGTCCTGTTGTAGATCATTCACCCTGTAGTTTATTTTTAGGACAGCAACAAGGCCGTGTGAAAATAGCGCGATTTGATTGGTTGAGAGGGACAACGCCTCCAACGTGGCTGGTAAACAAACGTCAGCTGTTACACTCAGAGACGTATAAAGCCAGTTATATACGTCTCTGCTACACTGAAGTTTTTGAAAGAATGAAAAATTAATATTCTAAACAAAAAAATGTGAGGAAATCTGAACGATTCGAGACAAACATTTTTTTAGAAAAGAAATATAATAAAATTACGACAAAAACATTTAAACATTAAAAAATAAGGCTGAAAATAACAACATACCTTTGGTCGCCCTTGGTGTTACTGATATTTGGAGATTTCTCTGCTCCTGTCTTCACCATGATTACTAGATGTTCACTAAATACAGATATACATAAAGTCGACAGTCTCTCATCAGTGCTTACAGCTTCGGATGATCTGTTAAACTGATGCAATTCCAAGTGCGCGATCTTCCTATATATAGCAGAGTTTAGGAATGACGTCACGTCTTAGTAATAATGAGTATTTACCGTGGTGTGGTGTACACATTTTGTGTCAATTCATACAGGGATATCCCCCATGTCGGTCAAGGTCACCGGGGAAATAACCTGCACGTGCTTGTTTTTCTCCCAAAATACAGTAAACATATATACAAAATATCTCAAAAATTGTTTACAGGTCAGTTCTGAATTTATGCACGTTTTTCAAAATTCGGTAAATGATTGCAACTCGGTCATAGGACCTTCAGCATTAAACATAAAATTAAAATTTAATTAAGAACGGGATTCAAATGTCTCATTTCGTGACCGAATTGCTACTATGTTTTTCACTCACTGTAATATTATTTAAATACTACATACATTTGATTGATATTTTGCATCGGCAATTATAATTAAATGTGCTGCCTTGGTGGATAATATAAGTTTTAATTGTTTTTATGCTTTAGAAACATTTATGACTATACTCTCAATTGAATTACGCGTACAAGTAATAAGAAATAACAACTATTGAAAAAATATCTACAAAGCTCACAGGGTCGATAGTACCAATTCATACCGTACACGTCATTGCAGACTCACCAATGCCATTTAAAATCCCTTAGTCTTCTGCAGCATGGAACTATTTTAAGAGGTCTGCATATATACTATACATTTTAACAATTAAAACATTCGTCTGTCTTTTAAAAATGAAAATGCACGCGATCTTCCGTTCGGTTCGTGTGTGTCCCTGACGGTATCTGTGGATGAATCGGACTATCCCCTTACTTGGTAAAGAATCAAACAATTCAGTAATTACCAGTTTGTAAATGAGCTTTGTGACAAATTTATTTAAAAAATTAAACTCTAAAGAATGTTTAATCCTATGATATAGATTATGATATAAAACTAATTGATTTGCTGTTGCATAAATACACCCCAACGTACCTTCGTCCCCATCCCAAAAATAGTAATTAACGCAATAATACGTCATCAATTAACTTCTAAAGCTCGGTACGAGTAGGTTCTGTGGAACAAGGACGATGATGAGAGGACGAAATATAACTCGGACTATTGACCTTGGTACAAACGTTTGAATGCGGGACGATCTATACAATACTTTATGTTAAAGAGTACGGAAGTCACGTGTCATCCACTTAGTACTTTTTGTCATCCCTATACGTCATGCACGTGCCTTGTACTAATGTTTTCCGGTTCATCATCCATGATCTCACCATCAGGTCAAATAAACCAGCAAGGATCGAAGGATAAATTACGTCATCTTCCATATAATGCGTTACGAAGGCCAATATTGTAGTGTCTAGTGTCTATAAAGCTTGTCCTTTGGTAGGGTAATTATCTATGACTAATTCTATAAGTTCATTTATTCCTTGAAAAAAACCACGGAATTAGATTAGATATCTATAAGTCCGTGGAAAAACGAAGTGATCATTTTGTGACTCATTACTTTCTCTTTGGCATCGGAGTGTTCAAAACGTAGTTATTACAAAGTTATCAACTCAGTTTAAAAAAAATGTAAACTTTTAAATTTATTTTATATTTTTGTAACCCGAGGTTGAATGGTAATTTGAATCTTCACCCGCAGATTCAGTGTTTCAATTCAAATAAATTCTGATATATACACTAGAAACACCATTTGCGTCATTATCAACTTTGTTAAGTTAATTATGCTGAACTAATGGGCCCATGTAATGACGAAATAGCATTTACATGTAATTAAGGAAGCGAGTTAAATATTTACAAGCTCAGTGTTCTGTGTATCAGTGTATACACGTGTGTACGTACAAGTGATCAACACGCCACGCATGACTTACAGCTGTGTGGACTTTGAACCTTGGACGGAACCACCCAGTGTTATTGCATACAATGTACGCTCTAGTTACTTCGTGTATAAGTTGT